GATTAGAAATGTTGTCTAGATTAAGTGCATATTCAGCATTTAAGGTTTGTATGTAACAGGAATATTTCTAAGACTTCCTTTATAATAGATACACCACGGGGAAAAATAATTTGGTTTAATCTAACAAATGGAAAGAAGAAAAACACAATATTAGAACCTAAATGACAAAAAGATAAATAAGAAACAGGAAGTTCTCATTCTTTTTGCCAGCATATACAATTCTCAAATAAATTTCTGGGAATTTGGAGGTATGTCTCCAAAGACGAGGTAGATCCTTATTAATCATTTCTTGAGTAAACAGGAGGTAAAAAAAGGAAATAATGTGCATCGAGCCAGAGGAGATGCTAACCAAGGCAGAGATGAGCACAGCCTCGTAAGTTTACATCCAGCCCATGATTCTCATTCTCCAAATTTTCAAACTATATCACTGATCTAAATAATAACAACAACAAAAACAACATCCTATGTGTACCTTTAAAATAACTGAAGTTATGAATACTTCTTAGATTCATACTATAATTTTCATTATTCCAACTTCAATATATAAAATATTTGAAAAGCTATCCATTAACCAAAGTAAAAAGAAGTTGGTAACAATGTCTAATCAGTAAACTGGGCTCCACATGTAATGGTGAAATGGATGATAGTCTGTCTTTTTCTCTGCACACATATGCATGGCTAGTACATGTATGCATACACACACATATATATACTCTCCTCAAACACACACACTTACTCGTGTACTCAGAGAAATAAACACGGAAAGATAGACACCAAATCGTCATAGCGATTATCTTTGAGTAGTAAAAAACCAGATGATTTGTATTTTCTTTCTTTTCATTTCTTTAAATTTAGTTTTGCTTTATCTGTAGCTTCTACATTTTTTGTCATAAACATATTACCCATGCAATTTTTTAAAGTTATACTAAAAAAGAAATCACGTTGTTCAAAAACTTTCGGATATAGTAAGAAACTATGTTTAAAGGAACAGACCCAGATGGTAACTATGCCATTTTAAGTTTTCTCCTATAAAATTTTCTCTCACTGGGAAATTCAGATCATGGGACCACAAAGGTTATTTACTTAGACACAAGATTTTAAAACAACAATTTGCTAGAAGAGATGACCTCACATGTATTTTAAACATTACTTTAAGGTCTTCCACCCTTTAGGTATTGTTTAGAAAAAAGTCATTAGTGAAAAGGTCCTATTATCTGTGGACTGTGTAGTTTAAATCCAAAGGACTCAATCCCATAGTAATTAAAGACAAAATAAAAATTTAACTTTTCCATTGGAAGATGAAACAAGGGGTGGAGTAGGAAAACTTCAGTATTTTTTAAAGTCTTATTTAAAATTCTTGAGATCAGACACAAAGCAAACCATGTCAGTTCTTTTTGGTTCTTTTACCATAAAATTTCATTACAAAGCATCTCATTATACTGATTATCCAATTATAGTCCCGGTCACATTATGCCCCCTTTATTCATAAAGATATATCCGATACCTTATTCTTCATACAACAGACCACATTGCAAATGTGTTACTACTACTGTACTGGGTATTTCTATTCCACTTATCCTGATTCAAAGACTTAACAGAAAAAATTAAATGGATGTACTTCAGATACTACTTTTTGTTTATAATATCCCACATGTGAAAGGTTTTTATAAAGTTGTCTTATACCGTGTAATCAAGAATGTTTTTACTTCAAAACTGCTTTTAAAAGTGCGCCAAATTACATATTTGTAAGGTGCCCCCCCCAAAGTTAGAAAACATCTCCAATATTTCTCAAGATAGAAACTGGCATCCTGAACATATAACCTAGAGCTAATGTAGAGAGTCGAGCAACATCAGTACTGCAGCACTATTTTGTGAATCAAATATATAATTTATTATACTTATAGAACAGACAAACATATAATATATAATAGTTCCTTCCACTCCATTCTATGCTCACAGAATACCCAAAATTTGGATTGGGAGAACCAACCAACCAACCTCAACTTTCACTGCCATTAACAGAAGTGCCCTCACCCTCAAGACCATTCCCACATGTGCATCTTCTCCTTCCAGGATTAACAGAACACAGTTTATTATCTATTTCAAATTCCAGAAAAATGTTACCAACGTCCATCCTCCTTGCCCTTTTATTACATTGTTTCTTGACTGCTTAAATAGCATTAGAATAAAAAAGTTCACAGGCAATCCAAAAAGGATACCATAATGAACTGCAGACTGGAACACACCTCAAAGTAAGAAGGAAAATTTGTGATGGGTTTTCTTCCTGACTTTCTGCACATTTACCTCCTGAAGGTAACACCCCAAATCTAGCACCAATGTTTTCGATCCTACATTTACTTTTTGTCTTTGGTTCCTAATTACTGCTTTTCTTCCCTTCTAAAAATTCATTTATCTCTTTCAGTAAAAAGAACAGTAATAATATGTTGAACAACTCTGAAATAAATTTTGTCATGTAAAAAATTAATTACGCATTCCGAACCTGGTCACTGTAGTCCTCCGGGAATTGCCTCTGCACCTCAGGATCTGTAAATAATTGACAGATAATATTAATTGGCTTTGGATTAGTGAGCAAGCAGAGGATCACACATTAATATTTGATCAGAAGATGATAGCAGCCCTGGCAGGGGATCCAAGGGGGGCAGCTGAGGCTGCTATGTTGATGAGCACAAGGAAGGACTCAGTAAGGCACTCCCATTACCCTCCTCCAGAAATATAAAAAAGAAAAATTTTAAAGACCTGGTGCTACTGTTAACTTTAGACTATTACCTAATGCAAAAATCTTGCCAGCTGCAAATTGCCTTCAATATATTTTTCCAGAGAAAATGAGTCTTAAACCTGCTTGACTTTTCTTCTCTAATCAGAAGACTCCTTTCCACAGTTACAGATGTGTGCTTGCGAAACAGTCTTAGGCACCAGTTTCACACTGGGGGAGTGGGGGAATAAGGAAGAATTCTTTCAAGGAACAAACGCAAAACTCAACCACTTTTACAAATAAAATATACCTTTCTCAAAATGCTTATGAACTCTTTGGAAATGCAGATAAAATAACAAAGTTTTCTTCAAAACAAAATCATTGCTTTTGGCTTATTAGGGTAAACAAAATATATCAGAAATGATGTTCCACCTCATATATTTATACTTGCTCTGAAACTATAAAAATACGCAAGTAAGAATGCCTTTCACGACCATCTATTAAAAATGGAATTACTGACAGGATCACTTTATTCTCAAATTATAACTGCAAGATAATCCAATGCCATCTTCCCCAATCAATAAAGAAGTGAACTAATTATAAGCTATTAGCACTTCACTTACTATTGATTAGAAAAACATTCAACCTTTTCTAATAAGAAAAAGAATTGATTCCTCAGAGACACATTAAGGGGAGTGATCAGAATAATATCTTTTAGAGGAATCATATATCAATTCCAAAGACTTATGGAAAAGCACAGTATGTGAAGATCTCCCCTCTAACAGTGATCACAATGTGTACTTCTCACTTTTCATAGCTATTTTTAAAAAACACACTAAAACACTGGTTTACTTCTCTGTAAAAGTAAATCCATGTAGAAGTTTAAACTCTCCAAATCACAATACAGAAACAGGGTTCATTGTTCTTCAGTGGAAAAAAAAAATCAAGAAAAGAAAACAGTAAGGGCCTGTTCACATACTGCATTTAAATCCTAGAAACACTAGTTTTCAAGTCATTAAAGCCCATGGATGTTACTCTTTAAAACTCAAGACTAGCAACAAAAGTAGGAATATTCCAAAGGTCGCACCACAAGTAGCACTTCCCAAAATGGGTGATGCAAAAAAGTTGAAACTCTGCAAACTAGTTTAGTTCCTGAGGAGTCTTTCTTATGAATGGCTTAAAAGTGGAGATCCATGTCTTCCTTTACCCTCATCTTCAGCTACGGGGAAAGAACCAATGACATGTCTAGACTGTGACTATTAGAATTCTGGAGTAATATCCCTGCAATACCAATTCAGGGCTGCCTCAGTGCGCCAGACAGATGAAGCTGCTGCTGCCTATCTTCAGCCTGAAGGACTCAGCCTTGCTGGGACAGAGGCCAGGAGGTGCTAACAGTGTGGTAGGAAAAGTACTAGGCCCGCAGAGAAGAATTTGCCAGTAGGATACAAAGAAAGGGGCTCTGAAAGTGTGCAATGCGGGTAAAGGGAGAGTGAAGGAAGA